TTTATCCCGTAAAGCCCTCTCTTTAAACAAACAACTCTTGTAAAATAGAAAATCTGTCAACATTGGTAGAAAATACTCGACCTCAATATGTGATAGTTTAAAGTGACAGTCCCTGTTGTCATGTGGTTTGGACATTAGCAATGCGCTGTCTTAAAGAAGGGTTCCAGAGTTCCTCCTGTGGATTGGATTTGTCACAGGCGTATCGCTAGAGCATACCTGGCTGTTACAATGATGGAAACCACGAGGAGTCGGCTCAATAACAGACTCTATGATCTAAAGCACACGGGTTAGACCATTTGGTCACCGAAAACACCAAAATGCAAAATAAAATGGGGTTTAACGTCATACTTTTTTGCTCCAACTGGGCTAATGAAGACTGGAATACGCCATGCAGTGCTCTATGTGGGAAATTTGACCCGGACAGCGGCACTATCGCTTACTTTTATATCGAATTCTAACTGTCAAGGGATCTTTTACGTGCACTCCAATGTGTACACGAGATCTCGGTTTTTCGTCCAATCCAAAAGAATAGACGCTGTTCCGTGTCAGGCCATCCAATGCCGAGAAATCCTGGGGAGCTTTCTCGCCCAACACCGGGATCGAACCCGTGACTTATTCCCAAGTATAAATTGTGAATATATATATATATATATATATATATATATATATATATATATATATATATATATATTATAACACCTGTTTAAGTCAACTACCTGTTATATTTCAACATATGGTCGTATACTTAATAATATATATTTCATTATTTAATAGTAATACCTGTATTCAGAGAAATAATATAATTATACACAGCTGTTAAAGTCATGTGTCTATTGTTACCTATAACAAATATTATATTATTTCCACATATGGTCCTATATAACATAATACTTCATTATTATCGTACTATATATTAGTATGACAATTTGATTAACTTAATTTATAAACATAATGGCCTTCTGTCATATTGCGCCTTTGATTAAAAAAGCAAGCATTAAAAGACCAACTATTACGAAAGCCCAGAAGGCTCATTCCAAATTCCAAATTCCAAATTCCAGATTCCAAATTCCAAATTCCAAATTCCAAATTTGCTGCTGTAGCAAAAAAAAAATGCCCGTCCTAGGATACCGAGTAGCAGAGTAGCTCACTGCAGAGGAACTTTGCCCTAAACTGTTCACATCTGCCGAAGCGAACCCGAACTGGAATATAGTTATTATACTCTAACTGATTGGGGGGGGGGGGGGGGTGGCCGAATGGTTAGCACGTGCGTGCTGTATCATACGGCCTGTCATTGAGTCAACTGGCGTGGTTTCAAATCCCCGGTTGTACGTGACAAGGAGTAGGGTGTAAAATTACCAGTTGTGTAAAATTACAATTTATATAAATTCTAATTTGTTTAATTGAGGGGGGGGGGCTGCCAATTTGCTATTTTATCGGTAAGACATGAATTTGGAATTTCGCATTTGGAATTTGGAATTTGGAACGAGCCTTCTGGGCTTTCGTAAACTATGGTTAAATTAAGAGCGGTGGATACGTTCCTTATTTCACAGCCGCCATTCGACTTATTGATACGGCCCTAATTGTACAGCCACCACAGTCGAGTTGGGGCGATAGCTACGAGCCGTCGGGGTGATAGATACGGTCCGAATTATACAGCCTCTTGTCAAGCTAGATTGATATAGATGCGCCTATAATTGCACAGCCGGCAGTCGAGTTAAGAGTGGTAAATTCGACCCTTATTGTACGATCCGCCAGGCGAGTGGTAGATACGACCCTTATTGTACAAGCAGCCAGGCGAGTGGTAGATACGACCCTTATTGTACAATCCACCAGGCGAGTGGTAGATACGACCCTTATTGTACGATCCACCAGGCGAGTGGTAGATTCGATCCTACAATGTCAGTCTAATGCGGTAGATACGACCCTCATTGTACAACAGTATTATTCGAGTGGTAGATAGGACCATTATTGTACGAGCCGCCAATCGAGTTGTAGATCCGAACCTCATTGTACAATAGTGTTAGTCGAGTGGAAGATACATCCTTAACTGTACGAGCCGCCAGTCGAGTTTGAGTGGGTGGCACGACCCTAGTTATACAGTCGCCAGTCGGGTGATAGATACCACCCTAATTGTACAGCCGCCAGTCGAGTTTGGAGTGATAGATACGACCCTAATGTACAGCCGCCAGTCGTGTTGCAGTGATAGATATGCGGCCCTAATTGTACAGTCGCAAGTCGAGTTTGGTATAACCCTTATTTGCACAGCCAGCGGGGTTGAATGGTTAGCACGTGAGCGCTGTATCATAAAGTCTGTCATTGAGTCAACTGGCGTGGTTTCGATTTCCCAGTTGTACGTGACAAGGAGTAGGGTCGCCTGTCCAACCTCGTGGGTTTTCTCCGGGTCCCCTGATTTCCCCACTTCTAAAAACCCCTACGCGCAAGCGAATTATTGAAATATATGGAACCATATGTTAATCCCTAAATAACCTAGTTTGTGTCGAGTGGACGTTAGACCCCATTTCTTTCTCTATTTGCACAGCCGCTAGTAGAGTTGTGGTGATAGATACGACTCTAATTGTACAGCCACAAGTCGAGTTAAGTGTGACTAAAAGTTAGTGTGTATTTTTAGTGTTATAGTTTGTTTAGCCTAGCAACTACAGAAGGTGTTACAAATACCTGACGATAAGAAGTGTGTTTGAAGTTAGACCTCGAATAATCCGTCCACTTCCTCACAGAGCGCTCTCTTAATCTTTTGCTAATCTGATAATATTAAATCCACAAACTTTAATAAAACACCCAGTAATAGTGATATGCATACCGTGGGCTTTAGGTCGTAAGGTCTGTCATTGAGCCAAGTTTCGTTGTTTTAAACAAATTTGTGTATGTGACTTGGAGTAGGGTCGCCAGCGTTACTTCGTAGCTTTTCTACGGACAGCGGCACTACGGCCTACTCTTATATCGAGTCCAACTGTTAAGGGATCTTTTACGTGTACACGGGAACTCGGTTTTTCGTTCCATCCGAACGACTAGACAGCTGTCCTTGTCAGGCCCTCTGTCCTGCATGACTGACAAGGGGGAGCCACGCCGGAAAATCTGGACGAACTTATTCGGCCAATGCAGGGATCGAACATCGGACCTACAGGCTAACGAGCCAGCGTCTTACCAACTTACCCCCCCCCCCCTTTCCCAAACTGAACAAACCAACCCAACAATAAGGGAAGCAATATTATCATGATGTTATCAGTGGAACTCTATAGATAAATATAGAATATGTATTAAAATCACGAATTGTTGCATCAATTATTTATGACCTATAGACGCCTATAATAAATAATTATCAATATGACTGGACATTGTTTAGATAAGATGTCACAGTTTCTCCCATAAGGTCAACAACATTACAAGTATATGTAACACTCAGATAAAATCGGTCCACTTCTTTTGTCAAACATTCAAAGAAATGAGGAGGATTGGATGGCTGAATGGTTAGCGTGCGCGCGCTGTATCATAAAGTCTGTCACTGAGTCGACTGACGTGGTTTCGAATCCCCGGTTGTACGTGACAAGGAGTAGATTCGCCTGTCCAACCTCGTGGGTTTTCTCCGGGTCCTCCGGTTTCCTCCCACTGCTAAAGAACCCTACGGGCAAGCGAATTATTGAAATAAAATTAAACCATATGTTAGTCCCGAAATGACCTAGTTTGTGTCGAGTGGACGTTAAACCCCATTTCTCTCTCTCTTTCAAAGAAATGAAATGAAATGGGGTTTAACGTCCTACTTTTCTGCCCCGACTGAGTAAAAAAGGACGGTTACATGTCAAGTAGTGAGTTTTAAGGGAAATTTGACCCAGACAGTGGCGTTTCCGCCTACTTTTGGCCAGAAATAAGTCGACATTGATCGCAAAGACATGGATGTCAACTATTTGTTATATTCATGAACCGTTAGACTCTAAAGTTGAAAGAAATCAATCAACTTACAGTAAAAGCGCCGTATCCAGACGCCAGATAGCCAACGTTAGAAAAGAAACAACAACGGTATGAAACTGTCGATTACAAGCAATATTTCCTCTACAAATGTTTTAAAAGGATATAACATTTCTCAGCGAACGGTAACCAAATTCATATCCTCTGTAACATGGTAAAGATGTTAGTCAGGGCAACTTAACCTTAGCTTTCTATATCTGGGAAATAACACATCATCAATGTATAAATAACCTGTCGTATTTACGGTAAACACGAGTTTTAGATACAAAATGAAATAGAAATGATGGGGTTTTAACGTCCAACCTTTTCTGCACCAACCGGATAGAAAAAGATGGGTATACTCTTCATGTAATTCCAAATACAAAAATGTTCTTTAACGCCCATTTCTCTTACAGAACACTGAAAGGTACATTGTACACGTTGGCATACATGTAAAAGAACCCTTAACAGTTGGGATTCAATTGTCCGGGCAAAATGTCCCCCATAGTACACTCAGCGTCGGATAAACCACGGGGCACATGGGGCCCAGGCCCCAAGACCTGCCACATCAGCGAGCCCCACAAATAGTTTCAGTTGCGCAAAAAAAGCAATGTGAGCATTGGCGGACCGCGGACTTATTTGCTAATGGCAGTGATTGGGTCCTCAAAGGCCCTCCGTTGGATTTTTTAAGTCCTTGACTATGTCCTAACGTTACGGTCATCGGGGACATGACTCACCGTATCTAGGTCTCCCCGTTATTTATCACTGACGGGACTTCAAAAAGATTGATGTAGTCTGTATTTACGTTCATATATGTGGAATAATGCTGCCTAAGTTCTGGGCACTTGTGTTAGGTTGACAACCCGACATCATCAAGGCCCCAGGGCCCCGGCCATGGTTAATCCGGCGCAGAGTACACTGCATGGCGCATGTCCGTCTTTATTAACCTGGTTGATGTAGAAGGATGTTAAAACCCCATTTCATTTTAGTCTATGTTGAAGACAATTCCAGTATTGATATATCTGTCTGTATTTTTTCAGATTTAAAATTAGCAGCTGAATTGGGTAAAGCTCTACTGGGTAGAAATCGTGAATTAGAAGGAAGTGTGACGTCATTAACACAGATAAACAATGATCAGGCCCAGGAATTACAGGTATATAATAGTCTATATTTTTTGGTCCGAACGTCCATAGGGGGTTGGATGGCTGAATGGTCAGCGTGCACGCGGTGTATCATAAAGTCTGTCATTGATTCGACTGGCGTGGTTTCGAATCCCCGGTTGTACGTGACAAGGAGTAGGGTCGCCTGTCCAACCTCGTGGGTTTTCTCCGGGTCCTCCGGTTTCCTCCCACTGCTAAAGACCCCTATGCGCAAGCGAATTATTGAAATAAAATTAAAAACCATATTTTCCGTCGCCCCCCGCCCCCTTCCTTACCATTGAAGAACGGAGGTCTTGGCAAGCCCGTACAGTGTCGAGTCGTTCGGATTTGCCGAGCAACCTATGTCACGTATACACATTGGCATGTAGGGGAAAGAACTCGTTGACAGTGTGAATTCGAAAAAGAGGAGGTCACATCGCCGCTGTCCGGGAAAAATTACACTCATAGCACAGCATATGTTTGTCTTCATTAGCACAGTCGGTGAAAAACCGTAGGACGTTAAACTTTATTTCACTTCATGGGTCAGAAGGTCAATCCATAGCAGGTAGGTTCATTAGCTCCATCGTCCAATAATCCATCGACCCAATGACCTTATGGTCTATTAGCTTGAGGTCAGCGAAACAGACAAAGAAAACGTGCCTAGTTCTTCGAGTGGGGCAGCCTACACTTAAAAGAACACTTGACGGTTACAGTCCGGTCGGGCTGTTTAAGGGAACGGCCTAACGTAAAGGAACCCTTGACGATTACAGCGCGATTGTTGCTCTAAGTCGGACTTTAAATCTCATTTCTCGCCTGTCCAAACTCATTGGGTTTTTTCGGGTCCTCCGGTTTCCTCCCACTGCTGAAGACCCCAACGCGGAAGCTAATTATTAAAATAAAATTGAACCATGTGTTAGTCCCGAAATTACCTAGTTTGTGTCGAGTGTACGTCAAACCCCATTTCTCTCTCTCTTTTACATCTCATTTCATTTGACGATTAAAAATCTAAGTAAATTAGGCGAAAATGCCACCGCCCAGACAAAATTCACTATCATCGAATTGCACTCGTAACCAAAGAATAAAAAAATACCAAAATATTATGACACATCCCCCATTCAGACATACACAATGTATAGAACAATTTGTTTTAGATTGTTATACGCTCACATTGGTAATGTGCGACAACGCTTGATTTAGCTTATGTGGGCGTATGTTTCGTTGCCTGGCAACCTATCGGTGTTTTTTTTAATATCTTCAGCATCTACGGAACCAGGTGGAGTCGTTACGTAGTACGAGTGAGTCGAGGAATAAGTTAAATGAGGATCTGGATAGATTGAATCAGGAACTGGAGAAAACCAATCAAAGATTGATGTTAGATATAAAAGCCGATAAACAAACAATTAACAGGTAAATAGGGGACATTGATTGTAGGCCCTACATGAGAGGGGTTTTATAAAGTATAAAGGATAAGTATTTTGTGTTTGGTGGCAGTTAGACCCTACCCCTCCTCCCGTATCCCTAGGGAGCCGCGATGGCCCAGTGAGTAAGAAGTTGGCTCGCTAACCTGAAGGACCCTTGTTCCCGATTTCCAGGAGTGGTTACCCCTTGTCAGATGGGACGAAAACGAACCTTGACAGCTAGAATTCGAAATAAGAATAGGCCTTAGTGCCTCTGTCCGGGAAATATTTGCCTCATAGCACACTGTATGGCGTATGCCTGTCTTTGCTTCTCTCGGCGGTGGGGTGAGGTGGCCGAATGATTAGCGCGTGCGCGTTGTATCGTAAGTTCTGTCATTGAGTCAACTGGCGTAGTTTCGATTCCCCCGCTGTACCGGACAAGGAGTAGGGTAGCTTGTCCAACCTCTTGGGTTTTCTCCGAGTGCTCCGGATTACTCCCACCGCTAAAGACCTCTAAGCGCAACCCCATTTCTCTCTCTCTCTCTTTATTTCTCTAATCCCTATCTTGAAATGTGAATATTGTTACCACGTCATGTTCTATTTCAGGTTGAGTCTGACCGTAGAATCACTGGATCAAAAAGTGGAAGATTTACAACATAAAATCGAGGATCTAAAAGCGAAGGAAGTGGCCGTACAAAAACAGGACAAACGACGAGCTACAAGTCTCGCGAGTCTCAATGATACGAACGATAAACCGAACAATTATTATATAGAAAATTTACGATGGACTTATAACGACCAGTTTAAAAACCTTCCGCTTAATCCGTATGAAAAGGAGATCAAAAGGCTACAAGATCAAGTGCACAAGTTGAAGACCAATCAAATGATAGAACGTCGTCAAACGGAAGATTTGGAAGTAGAGCTCGCGCTGGCCATGCACGAAAATCAAACATTAGAAGACAAAGTCCGATCTCTTGAAGACAAGCTCGAGAAATTGAACACGGATATTCAGGAGGAGAACCTGCGACAGGAGATCAAAAAAGCTCTGGGACCAGATAAAATTTCCTGTCGATTCTGTGAACGCCCAGATGATACTGAAATATTGGATGACTTGGAACACGATGATCTCAAACTCCGTAGTGCAGGGAAAGCGGTAAAGTTAGAAAGTGGCGGTAGTCTGTATGGCAGTATGGAATCTGTGAACGTGGTTGCGTCAGACGCTGAAGAAATCGTTACCAAGGATACGGATGAGGATGCCAGTCTGTCTATTCTGAATGAACTTGAAACCCAGTATAAGACATTATTCTCTAAATACGAGGATGTGATTCAGGGTCGTGCTAAACGGTTGTCGGGAGAATTTGACGCGGTGGAAGAAAAATGTAGAAAGTTGTCGTCTGTTTCCCACAAGGAGGTTCAAACCCTGATAAATCTGACGTTGAACAAAGATTATGGTCAGGAACCAGGTCAACCACCCCCGTATAAGGCAATATTTAAAGATTTATTTGCTACTTTGAAGAAGTCGAGAATAGATGAGAGCCAGGAGACCCAACAGAAAACGCCATCTTCTACCCCAGTTAATGATGAAAACAAAGCGTTTGTTCCCGGGACGAACGGCGCTGCTACCTCGTCAAAACCAAAAAAGGTTGTCATGGTAACGACCTCGACCTCGACCTCAACCATGACCTCTTCAGGGGTTAAATTACGTGCCAAACCTGCAACGGATGTAAATCGAGTCGCAAAAGCAAAAAGTGTAGGAAGTGTTACTAAGAAATAAAAACGATGGTTTTAAAATAAGAAGGTATGCAGATAGTTGAACCCTAAGAAAACAAAAAAGTGGCTTTTAAAATAGGCTGAACCCCTATTCACAAAGGTTATAAAAGTTCAGTGGGAGAGTCCATTTCCAGGTTGGTTTTGGAGGTCGGTAAGTCTTACACATCGTAAGGGTTAGGGGTAATGTTGAATGTTGTCAAGGTAACACGAAATTTAATACTAAACCGAAATTACCGATTGGTGAATTTTCCGTCTGGAAATGAACTCGACCAACGGTCTTATCAGCACGATCTGTAGAAAGAGTCTGACGTATTGCCATGGTCGCCATTTTCTTACCCGGTTATTAAGCTTTGATAGATCAAAATTAGAACAAATTAAATATAGAATAAACAGCGCCAGTAAAATTTAACAGAATAATAGTTATGCGTAAGATATAGTAAATACAGAGACGGGAATTCTGTAAGAATCTACAAGTTTAACAGATCAAATAGGTGTCGGTGAAAAAAGAAGATCTAGTGGTCCAGAGGTGGGAACTGTTTAGGAATCTGGCATTGCGTATTACCAAAATTAGACAAAAAATGGCTGACCACAATTGCGACAATAGTTGTCCAGACTCTATCTATATATGGTAGGCCACGGGAGCGCATGCGTGATTTGTGTAACCATGGTACACTCTCTACCCGGTATATGAAAACATGGCTTCTTCTAGGGATAGTTTTAATAGCACAGGGAATGTAGAACTTGAATTTTTTTAAGAACTAAAAACAAGGATTACCTAGACTAAACAAACCATACCTAGCTATTTATTACATCATAAATGTCCATTCCAGTATTTTATAAGACTGTTTCTATCATTACTTTAAACGGAATATGATTCTGTCGTTATCTTCACGTGAGGGGCGCTCATTTTTCTCCACGTGAGTTTATCAGTTCTGCTAATGACAGAGGTCATCACTTTTCCACTCGTCAGAGTTGATCATTTTTTGCCAGATGGAGGATAGAACACTTTTTTTCCACACCAGGGTAATTCCTTACCAAATTGAGGCACAAAACATTTATTGCTATTTATATTTTACCTGATGATATTAACATTGAAATTGGCGGTCGCCATAATGTAAACAGTGCCGCCACATAGCCTACTTAACTACAAAATAAAAACCATAGTAGTGGTTGCGCTTGTCCCATTTTGTGGACTCTGATTTTTATCTTGTAGGCCTATTTAATGTCTTGGACTGTCAAAAATTATTTGGGTTGCTGCTATGCTAAAAGATCCGTATAGACTGGATAGCCTATTGTAATAATGTTTGCCTTCTTCCTACGTCACCCCCTTTATCGTGACGCAAGAACATGCCTGACGTCATTTAGATTCGGTTATCCAGTCTGTATTATGACAAAACTTTTTGTATCCCCAATCTAAGCGTTATTCACAAAAACTTCAAAGATTTTAAGGTTTCACTGGCTAAGATTTTAACTGCCAGCCACCGATAACTGAATTATTAAACGTTTTCGTGAATTTGGCTCCATTGGATATCATTGAACTAGTTATTTTGGATTAAACGTTAAGAATGTTTGAGGGTGACGTATAACTGTGTATATAAAATGATTATTATATTTATTATATTGTATATAACTAATCCGAGGTGTGTAAATATTATTCTATAATTATATTATAGGCTATATAGCTTTAAATTGTGATAACAGTTGGAGATACAACTAGTGAATTGCTTTGTATATACATGTATATTGTATTGGGGAAATTACATTAAAAACTTTGTTGTGCAAATTACATTTAAAATTGTATTGATCAAATTATATTTAAACATTTATTGTACATTCACAAAACGGATGCTAATACTTTCTGTACAACTTTGCATGAACTGTCTGTACCAACTTAATTACTAGTATCCCAGCACATACGTCATCATACTGACATCCCCGCACCTACGTCATCATGTTGGTATCCTCACACATGCGTCACCATATTGGTATCCTCGCACATGCGTCACCATATTGGTATCCCCGCACATACGTCACCATAACATGCGTTAATCTCTAAATGCCTGACGTAGTGCACATGTAGATCTCCTATAGAGAAGATTAAGTTTTGCAACTGGAAGCTGTGCTTCATTTTATTGACTGAAACGTGGCTTCAATTGAACGCCCAGATTTAGCTTTCATTGTGCATGCAATTTTTGGAGGGTTCGATTTACATTAACGCCACCTCTATTTAACAACACGAATCTTCATTTTCATTTTCTAATTTGAATCGGGACCCCCTAAGAATATTAGGGACCCAGTGTGCACCTTACAAGACGACGACCTTGAATTCGGCTGCCCTATCAAAATTTATCAACCATTATGTTGGTCTACACAATGGCACCGAGTACGTGTATGAATAAATCACACATTTCAAAAGTTTTAGAAATAATTAAAGACTTGCTTGAATGAAATTGTAAATTTAGTTTAATTAGTTTTATTCTGCGCATGACTTGAAGTTAGTTTATATGATAATAGACTTATATTCCGTTATTCGCTGGTCACCAATGTCATATAGCAGAACAGATTGTCTGCGCCAGCTTGTTTACAAATTGAAATTCTGCTCGAGCTGTTTAAATACAAAGTGAGCTGGTTGTTTATTTAAGACATTTTATCAATATTTATTGTCCATCCATGTTGTGAGATGTTTTCTTTTTTTACTTTCCATCTATATTGTATCAAATCAATGACTCGACTAATTTAGTAATTAACGCTTGTGATTTTAGGTATCGACTAATTAACGCTTGTAATCCCCACCTTCCATGTACAGGTTCATCCTCCCTGGGTAAACCATAAAAGCCAGTTAGGCCCTGGTTTCTCTTTGTAGAACCTTGTGAACGCTATGACAAAAGTTATCATCCGGTGTTTGTATGAAATTTATATGCATTATTTAGGTCGAAGAAACCTATTGAATTTCCCTAACCTATACAGTTAAATGAAAGTGATATGGATCAGTGTCTTGTAAATGCTCCCATTACCTAGAAATGAATAAATATGAAATAATTCTTGTCGACTGCTTGGACGATTTAGCTGCTGTGCCTGGCAACCTATCTGTGTTTTTTATTTGAAATCAAAATATGCATTTATGACATCCTAAAGGTCTTCCGTTATTTTCTATGCGAACAAATAAACTTTAAAAAAAAGGCTTTTGGTTGAGATACCGAAATCAAACAATCGGGTTTAACGTCTTACTTTTCTGCACCAACCGGGCTAATGAACACCGGCATGCGCCATACAGTGTGCTATGAGGGGAATATTGCCCGGACAGCGGCACTACGGCTTAGTCTTATTTCAAATTCTAACTGTCAATGGTTCTTTTACGTCATCTTGCTATCTGATCTATATTTCAAATTGACAAATAGGGTCATGACTTACCTTGTAAGTAGTATTTTCCTGCCTGGGTCCGTTGGTGTCTCTAAATCAAAGTATTGAAGTAAAGATGTACCCTATCTTAATCCCGAAATGGCCAGTCTTTCTTATTTTTGGTGCATCTCCGCGAATACTTTCGTGATGGAAGTGTGGAAGCAAACATGGCCAGTTTATGTTGAGCAGACGTTAAACCCCATCTATCTTTCGATTGTTGGCGCATCTCAGTCAATACTTTAGTTAGGGAGTATATTATTATTTATTAAAAATGGAGCGATATAAACTTTGGGCGATTAAAATTGTTTGAATTATAATTTAATGTGTTTTTGTGCCTATATCTAATCTGTATGTTGAACCTTGTGAACGCCCTGTATCTATATGTTTGTTTATTTGTGATCACGTGATATTGTTATATTTTATTGTGTACTATAACTTCTACACTTATAATTAATAAACTTATTAAAACAATATCCTGTTGACATTTCTGTGAATTAAAGGGACATTATAAAAGATTAGATAAAGAGCTGACAGTTAATAGTTTAAGAAGAGATAATGTAAAGGGAGTATGATGAAAATTTCAGTCAAATTACTTCACTCTCAGCCGCGAAATTCTCATTTCATTAACACTGTAGCCTCGATTGTCACGATAATAAACAAAGTCTCGTTTATCCATTTTAACGGTCAATCATCAACCGCCGTTGAACAGTAGATCGGATTTAAATCTGTTAAAAATCAGACCCATCAGATGACCTAGAGAATTGATTATGGTCTTGCCATGTTAATAAATGTCTAAAGAATAGTTTATATAACATTTAAGACCTAAAGAAAGACCTGCAATAGGCAGATTTAGCCTTTGCATAATGCCTATTGAAGTGGGTCATGGTGATACAGCGAATAAGGCGCTGGCTCACTAACAAGGAATATGCTATGGGGGATATTTTGCGCGGACAATGGTGCTACACTTATTTCGAATTCAACGGTCAATGATTCTTTTACGTGCACACTGAACAACTCCAAAGCGGTTTTAGGTGGTACAGATCTCAGCTAATCTAGCCTAGATTTGGTCTAAATATTAGATAACTCTTGTCAGGGATACTCCACCACTGCAAATGTCTGGCAATTATATAGCTCTGTCAGGGGTACCCCACCACTAGAAATGTCTGTCAGCGTGTTTTTGTAATACCTGAAGATGTACGGTACACTTTTGAGCTAATCTAGCCTAGTTGGGGATCATGGCATTTAGGGCGTGGAATACCACACCCACCACCAGAAACCCGACAAACTTACATTCTGATGATACCAGATATACATACATTGATACCATATAGGAGAAAATTGGTACACTTTTCAGCTAGGTTGAAACATTTTGGTGACATAAGTTCCCCCTAAATTGTGGAATGATTTACCTCTGAAAATCCGAAACGGTGAAACTTTGACTACTTTCAAATCACAACTGAAGACTCACTTATATCGGGAATGCTATGAGAATTAGACTTTCTGTTCACTGTATATATATATAACTATTGTTTCATTCCCTTTGACTATGCTTTTGGATGGTTTTGGCACTCTACGAATGTACATTATTTTTTTTTATTTCCAGGAGCCCCGGCCTAAACTTGAAAAAAAATCACCATATTAAAGATTTCTTTCATATCATTTATTAATTAACAAAAATATTAACACCTTCTTTTTCAAGAAAAATCATTTTCTGTACAAATAAAAAAAAATATGTAGCTTTCTGAACATCCTGGGTATGCCCAGTGGAGTAGAACGGAACAAGGCCACTGGGGATATCGTGGATGCTTTCTGAATAACAAATGCCATGGTTGACAGATTCAATCTGCTTGAATTACATTTTTGGGTGAGTAGGTCCGGCAAGAAGTCGTTTTAATTTTAGTAAATATGAGTTGTGCCCGGTTGGTTAATTATTCAGTGTCTAAAACATTTTACGACTAGTTTTGTCTAATTGCATATTACATGATCATTCCATATTATAATGAATGATCATTCCATATTATAATACATTATCATTTCATATTATAATACATTATCATTACATATTATAATACATTATCATTCCATATTATAATACATTATCATTTCATATTATAATACATTATCATTCCATATTATAATACATTGTCATTCCATATTATAATACATTATCATTCCATATTATAATACATTATCATTCCATATTATAATACATTATTATAATATAATGTTAATTATTCAGTGTCTAATACAATTTACGGCTGGTTTCATCTAATTGCATATTACATTATCATTCCTATTATTATACATTATCATTCCATATTACAATACATTATCATTACGTATTACATAGTTCATTATTATTACATAGTACATTATCATTAAAAATTACATTTCATTAAATTGCATATTTGTTGACAACTAAATAAAAGTCAATACAACCAAACAGCTAAAAATATACAAAACACAAACAAACAGTAAATAAGTACACCACAGGTAATCAAGTTATCAAACTTAATGTCCATATCTTGAAAAATTTTTTAAAAAATGAGAAAAATGACCCTGAATGATAATGTAAATATATAACTATAATTCATTTAAAATGTAATAATATTGGGTTTAGTGTTCTACTTTTTTACATCAACTGGGCTAATGGAGACAGACCTATGTCATGAATTCAAAGTGTCGAGGGTTCGTTCATGTGCAGATCAAGGACTCTGGTATTTTGTCCCTTCTGAATGACTAGACACTTTCCTCACCAGGCCCTCTGCTCTGGACCACTGAAAAGGGGAAACCACCCTGAAATGTCTTGATCGAAACTTAGTGTGTCGATGTTTTATTCACTGAGTCACCGTGACTCCACAAAAACAGCAAATGAGGCAATTAAATGAATCCAATCAGGTGTCCATCTCTAAGATAAACCGATTGATTATTATATAGAAAATTTACGATGGACTTATAACGACCAGTTTAAAAACCTTCCGCTTAATCCGTATGAAAAGGAGATCAAAAGGCTACAAGATCAAGTGCACAAGTTGAAGACCAATCAAATGATAGAACGTCGTCAAACGTTAGATTTAGAAGTAGAGCTCGCGCAGGCCATTAAATGAATTCATTCAGGTATTTATCTCTAAGAAGTAATCCTTTGTAAGTACATAATTAAATGAAATGAAATGAAATTAGGGTCAATATAATAATAATCATAATTTATAGAGCTTTAAGTAATAAACATTGGTTGCTCTGTGGCATTACACAAGTTATATTAAATTTAAAGATACATTATGTAAAAGCTAAATCTGCCTATTGCAGACCTTTAAATTGGCTTTAAATCTCACATAAACTATTAAGCATTTATTCAAGCAACTCTCTAGACCATCAGATGGCTGTGATTTTGAATGGATTAAAATTTTTCATTATCTATCTAGATCTTACATAATGCTTCTTTAATGTATTCATAACCATAAAGTTATAGAGCATCTTAATCAGGGGTGTCAAGCGCATTTCGATTCAAGGGCCACTTAAACTAAAATTTTACATCAAATTCTCCAAAAAAGCCAAACATCCATGGAGTTAGATATCTATGACATACAGTACAGAAGTCAGAGTTTTAATGAAAGCGGAAAACAATAATAAATGATTTCCACAGCTAGTTTCTAAGAATTACTGACATGTCAGATCGTTGAAATTTGTTCCATGGGCCACATTTAAACCATTGGAGGGTCAGATGTGGACAGCAAGCCTCTTGTTTGACACCCCTGATCTCAATAATAAAGATCGATAACTCCGTGGCATTAAACAAGGTATATTAAAAACAAAGAATTAAGTTTGTACAAAATTAATTTGAGCTAATCTCATAATAAACTATACGGGATATATTCTCTCTGTCCATAAGCAGACTCACTTTTTACAAATTTCATAAATAAAAAACAAAGTCTTTGATGGCACATAATAAGTAACAATTTTTCTACAAAAGTTTAAAAAAAAAAAAACTTAATACATTTATCTCAATGAGAAGTGAAGAATTTGTCCTGAGTTTGCAATCAGTTCAACTATTGTTAAGTTATTGTCTAGTTCGTAATCTGTTTGTGTCAAGTTTTCAATATGTTGTCAAGTTTGTAATCTGTTATTGTCCAGTTTGTAACCTATTGTTGTCATGTTTGTAATCTGTTATTGTCAAGTTTATAATCTGTCTAGTTTGTTATCTATTATTTGCTAGTTTGTAATCTGTTATTGTCTAGTGTGTAATCTGTTATTGCATAGACTCTAATCTGTTATTGTCTTGTCTGTAATCTGTTATTGTCAACATTTTAAACTGTTATTGTCAACTTTGTAATCTATACTGAGACACAATAAAAACGCACCACTGATTTGAATGGCAGTGTTGGCAAGACAAAATGCAGCTAAAATCTGATTTTTTTTGGCACAACTGTGATCTGGACATTTGCCGCCATAAGAAAATCAAGAGCAACCGGCGGTAGCCATAATAACTTTACAGTGAAACATTGGCACAAGGGGTAAGAATCAGTAATGTGTGTGTTCACCTCTAGGAGCTACACACGCCATGAAACTAGGTGATTATCCCCTGGCTGAATAGCTGCTTGTCGGATCCTTTTGGTATAATGCTGCGTCCAGACCCAGTGTTGCCCAACAGATGCTCGATTGGTGACAGACCAGGAGCGACAACTGAACATTTCAGTACTGAAATAGAAGTCCGTGGAGACACTTGCTGTATGCCCTCATTCATTTTAAGGCTAGAATGTGTTCAGATCTTGATCAAAAACAACTCACGGCAGCTATAACAATGTAGGCAAAAGGGCTAAGTGTCAGTAAGATATGTGTCTACCTCAAGAAGCCACAATTATCCTCTTGCTGAATGGCTGGAAGGCGACGTCCACTTAAGCACCATGTGCAGATCATGATGACCTTGATGCAGAAATAGTCCAACGTACAGCCAGTAAGGCACGCGGTCTGACAGGAAGCATAGTCAGCGTCGAACAACATCAGCATTGATGACCGATTCATGTGGACCCATCACAGTAGTAGCAGCACAGGCGGCTGGCAGAGTGCTATCCTGCAGATGTTGCTGGATAATTTGTCAGTCTGGACTTATCGAGGCGTTGTCACTCCTTACCGCCCAGGCCTTAGCTCAGAATGGTCAAATCTTCAGGGGAAGGCTCTGGTACCCATGCTCTCTTGAATTAATGCATTGACAGGTTCATGATGTTCAGGTGTCAACCTCAGCATATAGTAGCATCTTTCACAGAAGAGTTGGAATTGTACTGACCCTAGATGTCGGCACCATAAAATCATGATTTATCAACACTCCCATTCTATCGAATTTAACTTATTGGGTTTGAGAGACTTGATCTGTGGTGTGTTTAGTGATGTATATCATTCAATAGGCACGATTTTAACACCTTAGCGACATCACACCAACTAAAACTAACATTTTTAACTATCTAATAAACATTATC